TGTTTGAGATTGCATTAAATTACATTTAAATTAATTTCTTCTTTGTCACATGGGCTTCGCATTATTATTCCATCGCGATCAAAGTCGAAAAACAATGTTCTTATCGCTATTATTATTTAAGGTTTTTTGGTGTTTTTTGACTTTTGAAGCCCATGTGACAAATAAGTTTTACACGAAAACACGCAAACAACTTTGTCGGTTAGCCGCGCGATAAACGGCTGCCGGCACGCGCGAGGCCGTGACGTAGCCCGTGACGTACGGGCCACCGGCCTATCACTCGCTCCGAATCTCATCTCGCGCCGATATTTCAAGGGGCGGCCAATAAAGTTTGGCGCCGCGTTGAATCTTCGAACTGAACTCGGAGGTTCAAATTCATTGGTAGCGAGAGATTAAAGAACCGCTATAAAAGGGCCCGCTCGCGAGGAGCGCCTGAGACACTCGCTTACGCGTTTAGTTACCGCATATAGTTACACCGCTTTGAGACACTCGCATACGCGTTTAGTTATCGCATATTTAGTTACACCGCATTTCGACACGCTTTATTAACCGCTTACGACAACCGCTATTCCTTTTGTGAAACCGCTTACGACAACCGCTATTCTTTTGTGAAACGCCTATAACCGACCGAGCTTTTATTTGGAACTTTTGTAGAATTTGTGATCGTGTTAATTATTTTGTTGTAATTAAAAAACGTGAACTGTACTCGCGAGATTTATTTTCGGCGAGCCAAAAGATCCTCGCACACTCTTTTCCTATTTCGCCTCGCTCTCGAACAGATTGATCAAATAAACTGTTATCTATGATAACAGTTATCATAGATAACTGTTATCTATGATAATCTAACTGTTATCATAGATAACAGTTTATTTGATCAATTTCTTAATCATATTCTCGATTATGTATAAAATTCAGGATGATTTGAACAATCTTCGACCATCGATTGCGATTGTATTTTAAATAATTTCTTTTTCTTAATGCAATAGATCTGGGAAACAGCGATGAATTTTGCTGTGTATAAATCATTTCGTAATGTCTATTATATAATAAATGTTATCTATGATAACAGTTGATATAAGATATGATATATTCCGAATAGTTCAAACTGAAACATCAAGTTTTCTATAGGTGAAGATCGCATGTTCACCTGCGAATGCTTAAATATTTGATTCGAAAATGCCTAGAATGCCTCCAAAAATACGAGACATCAATCAATCATTTACTGCGTTATATGATCAATTAATTTGATGATCTTTTTAATATAGTTTTTAATTTTATTAATGTAATCTACAAATAATAAAAATGTGTAAATTATAAAATTTCAGCAACGTAACTCTATATCAGATTTAAAAAAATTGTATTCAAAATAAATTATATGTGGATTTCGGTAATGTGTATAAGTGTTTTTAATTTAGTTATAATATTTTGGAGAATGAAGAAATCCAGAATCTCGTCCACTGTAAGCATAGCACAAATGTTTTATACACAATGAAACATTTAAAATAAAGATCAAAATAAAGTTTTAAAAATTAAAATAGGATGTGTTTCCAACTCAGGCATCACGGTCTCTAGTATACGTAACTACGCACACATCTTCGTTGCATATCCGTTTTATGTTGCCTTTTTCGGCAAGACGAAAAAATGTCTTACAGACATCTTTTCACTTTGTCGAAATAATATCTTAGGAAAAACATCTTCCTTAAGATACCGCTAATCTCTATTTACGATGAAAGAAAAGAATCGTGGAGTCCGCCGGACGTCACATTAATATATAATCTCTTTTTTTATATAATATATTTTATATAATTCTCTGTTCCCCTTATAACGGAGATTATAAATTATCACCCCCAAAAATCATAGACCATCAAAAAATAAAGGATCTATGAACGATAAAAATCTCAACATTAAAATTCTTGGAAAAAAATTTTCATGATTGAACATTTTCCATCCGCGAGTATCTTAAACGTTCGATATGGAAATAAGAGTCATCATTCAAAATTTAAAAAACTGATTCAGTAAATGATTAAATTGAATCGTTGATTAACTTATAATCTAAAGTCTAAAACCAAAAGCCAACAAACATTACATGCATAATGAATAATTTATCGGAATGCGTAATCGAAATCAAAATCGAAAAGTTGGCCAAAAAGCATCAAAGTAATCATGTTAATAAGGACAATTCAATGTACGAGCTCACGTGATAAATGAATTGCCGAGGAAAAATGACTTTAGGCATCCCTTCAAAACATTGCAAAAAACATCGATTATACGCGCTCCTTAGTTACGCGTATCTGGCGACTCGTCGCTAACGCACGAGCGGTGAGTGGGGGGCAATAGGCGTGAGCCACGGAATCGGCCCGAAAAGGGCAACTATCTCCGAGCACTGCCGTAGGGCATACATGGACGTATATAGGTCGCGCGATCTCTACATTTCTTATAGTTAGAACGTATCAAAAAATAGAAAGTTGTTGTGCAATCTGTTTTTTTCGTGGGATAGGTCACTAGTGGTTATAGTGTATAAAAATTACCCTTGATACGGATTACCTTTAAATTACCTCAGATTACTTAAGATTACCTTAGATTACCTCAGATTATCTGAGGCTACCTTAAGGGGCTACATACACCTAGCGGTAGGCAAAATAGGGGGACATTTGACAATTTTCTTTTCATAAAAAAAATTTTTTTATTAAAAAATCTCTAGCTACATCTTAAAGTAGGTCCTTAATGTATATTTGGTAAAATTTTCATTAATAAATATTGAAAAATGTACCGTGGAGACGTCATCTGGAAGCTGTTCGACGATGCGGTAACCATTGTAGCTCCTCCAATTTTTATCTGAAATCACAAACCAAAAAAATTTCTTAAAGTATATAAAAAAAGAAAGTTTTTGTCGTAGTCGATTTTTAAAATTGTGATTTTTCGGAAAATGGCGGCCATTTAAATGCAAAGATATAATTTTTAATCTGATACCTTCGCATTCAAATGGCCGCCATTTTTTGAAAAATCAAAATTTTTAAAATCGGCTACAATAACTTCCTTTTTTTATATACTTTAAGAAAATTTTGTGGCTTTTGATTTCAGATAAAAAATAGAGGAGCTACAATGGTTACCGCTTCGTCGAACAGCTTCCAGGAGATGACATTTCCACAGCACATTTTTTAATATTTATTAATGAAAATTTTACCAAATATACATTAAAGGATCTACTTTAAGATGTAGCTAGAGATTTTTTAACAAAAAAATTCTTTTTGTGAAAAAAAAATTGTCAAATTTCCCCCTATTTTTCCTACCGCTAGGGCTGCGTCCGGAAACATCACTCGTGTGCACACGAGCGTCGTTCTATCTTCGTTATTTACTAAAAGTTGAACAAAAATAGAACGACACTCGTGTGCACACGGGTGATGTTTCCGAACGCAGCCATAAAGGGTCATGTCTAAAACAGACAATTTAATTAACACAAAGATCTTATGGATGATCTATACATATATTCTATGATTGCTTCTCCTAATTGTTACTATCGCGCGCGTGCAATATGACATATTCCTTTGACACATACTGCATTTTTCTCTTTGAT